TATTGTGACAGTGAAGGCGTGATAGGAGGATATAGGAAATGTGAATAGGCCATGAGAGAAGTGGAGATACCATAACTGTTTAGCACACGTTTGGTCAAAGGATCGGCTTCACTTGTCTTTTTGACGAGTTGTAATGTGGTGCTAAGACTGGGAAGACTCACTGACGATGCCGACTATGATGCCGGCGAAACTTCTGGAAATGTACTACGTCCATGGCCCGACTTTGGAAATGATTATGCATACAATAGACTCCGGACTAGGTGCCTTACTCTAAGTCTTCCTACCAATATGACCAAGTTGCGAAAACAAGGTCAAACAAGCTCTAGATATATTTATAGTTGGGAAAAGCTATTTATGACATTAATTTCATTAAGCCTTATCTCTAAATGTGTTCTCATCTAGGTTGGACTGCAGGCTTATCCTCACCTAGGTCTAATCAGCATCCCCAGTGGGATTCGTAGCTGATTATCACTTCGTCCCACTGCTATGGTTGCTAGCGCGTCGCAGGGCAGGCCAGGTCTTTCCCAATTTACATTTTTTATAATTATAAACTTATATTTGCCATTAAAATCGAACATAATTATCCTATAAGAAAAAAATTAGTTCCAAAATACTCAGTAGATCTTGACTAAAAACTTGCTCCTTCTGAATGTGGAAACCCTTAGGAGGCACGGCTAAGTTATATTCGATGTCTTTATTATTTAACTGTTGAAAATGCATCTCTCAGCCCTTACATCAATAGGCGGCCTATATTGTTTCAGGAGACAAATGGCTTAAATTTAGGCTCAAAGATCACTCTCAGCTAACTCATAAAGACGCTATTCCATGTTTCATTTTTGCCCTTCCAGATCCTCGTTGGGAGGCCACACGAGTTCTGCCCTTTCTCTGGTCGCACCCGGTGGCCCCATGTCCAACTTTCCCATGGCGCCTAGTAGCAGTGGCCTTTCAGGGCACACCTTCGTTCCCAGGCCCTCTGCTGGTGCTCCTCTTGCATCTGCTTGGAATCCTCTGGCTTCAACACGTTCTGTACCCAGCAGTTTTGCAGTTTCATTATCTCCTGGCTTGCATGACCCTACCGAGGCTGTTGCTGTCGCCCAGCGCCTTACCAGCGACATAGAAGGAGGCCAGAGGTCTATGCCTCCTGGACCTGTGCAGCTACCACGACTCGAGGGACCATTGGTACGGAAGTATGACCTGGAGGAAGGAGGAAGACGGCGGCAAAAAAGCCGAGGTCGAGGCTGGCAACCTGTCTATATGTCCCTGGAGTCCGGGCAATTGCTAATGTATAAGGTGGGAGCTAATTAGTATATACATTTTTCATCACGATAAGCATCTTAGTGAATCAAATATATTCGGTGAAAGATAGTAGACCAAAAGAGGCTCACTATTGTATACCACACTGGAATCTGTCCTGAAGTTGTATAGCATGTATGCGTTTTTTTGCCTCACTTCTCCTTTCAAACCTACTCAGTGCCCATAGCACCATTGTTAAGCCAGAAAGTTAAACCATCATCAAATTGAGCATTCATGAAACTAGAACAAGGCATTAACTTTAAGCTCAAAACTATACTCTGTAATATGAGTAATCAAATCCTCCCTCTCATGCTTTATGATCAATTAAATCCATTTTTTGGCAACCAACAATATTCTTCAATCCATAACTTGTTATATCGTTACCTTTGACATATTGTGTTCGTCATCAGTCACATAAACTACAGGTCCTAGAGAAGCCACATTCAGCACAATAAAGTTCATAGGAAGCTTAGTTTTTAAATCATAT